AAAATTACTAATTCAAAGCAGATGATCTGGCATGGGCTTTCCCTCTTTGGCACACTTTTTTGTTTTGGGGGTTTTTAGATTTGGGTTTTCTTGAGTTTTTTTGCACATTAGTTTAGAGGTAATATTCACCATCACATATCAGTTTGTAGAAAGAGTTTTGCCATGTTGCCCAGGCTGCTCTTGAACTCCTGGGCTCAAATGATCCGCCTAGCTTGGCCCCCCAAAGAGCTGGGATTATAGATATGAGCAACCGCACCTGGCCTAGACAAGAATCTTTTTTATTAAATGTTTCCTTGCCTGCCCTTAAACAGATTGATCCAAAATAATTTAACACTCTCCTGATTCAATACAAGAATTCTTTACAGGGCATCGATCCTATAGCCAAGCCCCGTGTGTTAAGTGCGGATGATTCACGCCTGTAATCCCAGCACTTTGGGAAGGTGAGATGGGGAGTTCATCTGAGGTCAGTAGTTTGAGACCAGCCTGGCCAACATGGTGAAACTCCATCTCTACTAAAAATACAAAAATCAGCCAGGCGTGGTGGTACACACCTGTAATCCCAGTTACTCGGAAGGCTGAGGCAGGAGAATCGCTTGAATCCGGGAGGCAGAGGTTGCAGTGAGCTGAGATTGCACCACCGCACTCGAGCCTGGGCAACAGAGTGAGACCCTTCTCGAAAAAATAAATAAATAGAAATTAAAAATTTAAAAACTTCGCTGGGTGTGACAGCTCATGCCTGTAATCCTACCACTTTGAGAGGCCAAGGTGGGCAGACTGCCCGAGCTCAGGAGTTCAAGACCAGCCTGGGCAACACAGGGAAACCCTGTCTCTACCGAAATACAAAAAATTAGCTGGGCCTGCAATCCCAGCTACTCAGGTGGCTAAGGCAGGATAATCGCTTGAACCTGGGAAGCAGAGGTTGCAGTGAGCTGAGATGGCACCATTGCACTCCAGCCTGGGCAACAGAGCAAGACTTCACCTCAAAAAAAATTAAAATAAAATAAAAATAATTAGAGGAGGATGAACTAGAAGATCATGAAGACTATTTGAAACTACACCGAGGAAGTCAACTCTTCACTTCTAACTACCTCCCACATAACTAATCCAACAAATGCTCAAAGAAGTAAAGATGCCTAACAAATTCTTGGAGCCTAAATTATCTACCAATTCATGGCTCACAAAATGGACTACAGGCAACTTTACATATACAGTCATGTATCACTTAATAACAGAGATACTTTCTGAGAAATATGTTGTAAGGCAATTTCGCCATTGTGTGAACATCATGGAGTGGACTTACACAAATCTAGATGGTGGATCTACTACAGACCTAGGCTATATGGCATAGCTTATTGCTTCTAGGATACAAATCTGTACTGTACTAAATATTGTAGGCAATTTTAACACAAAGTACTTATCTACAAAGTATTTATGTAGCTAAACATATCTAAACATGGAAAAGGAGTTTTCCAGTTGCATTGTGAACTCAGGATGACCATTGTATATGCGGTCCATCATTGATCTAAACGTTGTTATACAGTGCATGACTGTACAAATTACCACGGGGTTTATGGTTCCCAAGCACAATCCCAGACAGAATAGAAGACAGTTAATTATTACGGTCAAAAACTTCCTTACAGCTCACATAAATCTGAATCCACCAAATCAAAGAACAAAATCCTCTTCAATATGTGCCTGATGCCCAAATTTCAAAACTCCAAAGCAAATGAATATTAAACGAGTAACTTGCCAAGACTTGGGCTCTCCAAAGTGGAGATAATTAATGCTATAGAGGTCCATGTCCTCGGTGTGCCATGCGAACGTGGTCTTCCACATGCCAAAATACAGATACGGGGTATTTACGCCCTCAATAGAAATGCCACACTCTTCTTCAACCACATCCAAGACTGTATTCAGGCGAGCTATGTTCCATTCATCCACACCCTGGAATGACAGAGAAAAAAAGAGAGAGAAATCAAATCTTACCAAACCATGAAATATAGCATTTACTAATCAAACCACTATCCACCAAAATCATTACACTGTATATTCTAATTCACTGAAAATTGAAAAATAAAACAATCCCTATTCATGAGCCACATACATATATCCATTATTATTAGTCAAAGATTACTACCAGCATAATGGGGTTCCATATAACTATTTGGTAGAAATTTATAACAAATAGCTTCCCGATACCAAATGGAAATGAAAGTTACAGCCCCACTCCCCAGTGGCTGTCAGCAAAAAATTACTAATTCAAAGCAGATGATCTGGCATGGGCTTTCCCTCTTTGGCACACTTTTTTGTTTTGGGGGTTTTTAGATTTGGGTTTTCTTGAGATTTTTTTGCACATTAGTTTAGAGGTAATATTCACCATCACATATCACATCAAGAAACCAATAGCAAAATATGTCTTCTGTTATCCTTCTCCCATCCCCATCCATTCAATCTTAGCATGTAATACACTGTTTCCTCAAAATTCCACTCTAATTATTGGAAAAACTTTTGGCAGTATCCACTGATCACCGTGCTTCTACTAACGCTTCAACTAAATATTAACCTCTTACGTTAGTGGAAAAATTTAAACACACAATGCCTACTAAAAATACTTACCCAAACTTTGGTAAAATTGCTGGAATAATGTAGTTTTGTAACAGTAACCCAATACGGATGGTGATGGCAGAGCAAGGGAAGGTTAGAGTCGCTACTATAAGAGTTAAGGTGACAGAAAAAGCTTCTGGTTTGATTATAACTTAACAATCTTTTTTCCTCCCCCGAGACAGAGTCTCACTCTGTCGCCCAGGCTGGAGTGCAGTGGTGCAATCTTGGCTCACTGCAACCTCTACCTCCCAGGTTTGACCAATTCTCATGCCTCAGCCTCCCACACAGCTGGAACTACAGGTGCAGGCCACCACACCCAGCTAATGTTTTATATTTTTAGTAGAGACAGGAGTTTCACCATGTTGCCTAGGCTGGTGTTGAACTCCTAGCCTCAAGTGACCCACCCGCCAAGGCCTCCCAAAGTGCTGGGATTACAAGCGTGAGCCACTGCACCCAGCCAATCACTTATGAATTCACTACAGTTCACAACTGCTTAGAAGTTTTCACAAACTATACATTTCTCCCATATATTTTTATCAAATTCTAAATAACAGAGACTAGGCACATTCCTATGTAATCACGGGGAAACTGAAATGCCTTTAAAGCCATTCCAACCTTTTCGTGCTAATGCACTATTAGAGAAGGGCATTGGCCGGGTGCAGTGGCTCATGCCTGTAATTCCAGCACTTTGGGAGGCTGAGGAAAGCAGATCACTTGACCCTAGGAGCTCAAGACCAGCCTGGGCAACATGGCGAGACCCCATGTCTATTTTAAAAATAAAAACTAAAAGAAGGGTATTAAATTCATCTATGTCTACCAAAGGTTGTCCTCTCCAACAACTATACCAATGGCTTCACATACGACCACTTCTAACATTTCCTGAATACACTAAAAGCTCTTAGAGTTGTTCTGTTTTCATTTTGGTCTTTAAATGATTTTCTAATTAGTGTGCTAATCTTACTTTCTAAAGCTTTGGGGTTAAAAAACTATTGATGAAGCAGCTAATGAAACTCTGACTCAGGTAACATAATTGAACATGCCAAAGGACATAATTTAATTCCCAAATTCTCTTAAGTAGCCACTCTGTCTACAACTTAAGCCGCACGCTGAAAAGCTTGTTATTTGAAACTGGTCAAAGTATCCGTTTAGAGAAGATCCTAGGTTCCAACTTTTGAGACCTCATAAAACTTCAATCACATTATGTAAAATATTTTATCTCACTCTATTTATAGTGATGCAATCTCTTAACTCTAGTCCAATCAGACTTCAGTCCAATCACCCTAATAATAGAGTTCTATTTAAAAGTCATTACTGAAGCAATGAATCTGAAGTAATAAATGAGCACCATATTATAGGAACCATTTTTAAACTGAATGAGCTTGCAAATTTAGACACAAACTATTTCTCTAAAAGTTCTACATATAGAGACATCTAAGTTTTATTTCTGACTGCCACTATCTTTTAAAAATAACCAAGGTTGAATCCCTTGACATCCTAGACCCATGGTATAAGGGGAAGAGGGTAGAGATCAAATAGTGCTGGACAAAAAGACCTAGATTATAACCCCAGCTCTGCAGGTCACTGAGGAGAAAGTCACAGAGCTTTTCTGAGCATCAAGTCTTTCTTCATGGAAACACAAGGGTTCCTGCACCCTCCCAGAGTTGCTCGGAGCAGTAAATAAGCTAAATGAAAATAAACTTTTATAAAATAAAATTTAATTCTTAGAACTGATATAATAAATATCACCACTATTCTCTAGCAAATCTTACTGGAAAGTCTCCCAAAAACAAGTCAAGCATGTCAGAAGTGATATTTAATAACATGTGTTTAAGTTCACTACTGAAGTTCTCCCCGTTAATGGACAAATAGCATATCTGCAGCAGTTTCTTCTCAGCAAGGCAAAGTTGCTGAAAAGTAATTTCTTTTGCTAAAATAAAAAGTCTCATAACTTCAATTAAGCAGTTGTACAAATATTAAGAATAATCAACAGAGAGAGATAAATCTTATTGCTTCAAAATTCTTTCACCAATTTTTGTTCTCTACTATTAAACTAGTTAGCTGACTCCAAAAACAGGCTCCACAAAGGCTCTTCTGAAGAGCACCAGGTCTGTCTCATATACTTAGACCAAAAACACACCTAGTTATCATTAAGTGTTATACCATATGCTACCTCATTACACTATACACACTTGTATGCTACATTTATTCTAAACAATCCTATAAAATGGGTAATGTTATTCCCAAATGAACAAATGAAAAAATTAATTCTCCTAGCTAGAAGTAGGTAGTAGTGATTAACCTAAATCTATCTGACTCCCGGACCTTCCTTTTTAAAGGTTTATGCTTTAGTTCTGATCCTTTTGAAATACGACATATCATCCTCTTCTCTCAGCATCACTGTCAACAAAGATCTAAGGTTCAGGAGCAGCAAACACGTGAAGCTGCTGCATTCTTCTCACCAGGGGCAGAGCCACTCTACACAAATGTCAGCAAGGCTTATACCGCAGACTGCTTCACTTGAGAGCGCGTGACAGGAATGATTTAGCATAAAAGCAGTCTCCACACCCCAGCTACAAACAAGCCCCACAATGACAAGTGAGAATCTGCCGAACTGTTCAAAGCTTAATTCCATCAGGCTTCAGGAGAAAGGCTGCACACCAGCCCAAGTTCACAGACAAAAGTCTCCTCCTGGATTCTGTCTCCCTCAAATGAAACTCTCCCACACATGTTCAGCAGGCACATGAGCAACATTCATAACTCACCTGACTTCCAGTGGGCTGACTGGAGTCCTAGGCCTAGGAGTTCACGTCCCCTGGCCCCTTGTTCCTTTCACGCCAATTACCCAGTTGGAGCCTATCCTGCCCCATTCCTTTACGTACCCTGCATCTGTTTTCTAAAACAACTCACAATTGGACCATGATTTGTGCACATAGGTGTAACTGAGAACTTTATCAGGGATATTCCCTTTCAATCAGTGATAGTATCTTCCTCCTATCAGGAATCAGACAGCAGTTTAAAAGCATTCCTAGGCCAGGCACAGTGGCTCATGCCTGTAATCCCAACACTTTCAGAGGCCAAGGCAGGAGAATCTGAGCCAGGAGTTCAAGACCACTCTGGGCAACATAGTGAGACCCTGTCTCTACAAAAAATTTTAAAATTAGCCAGGTATGGTGCCTTGCACCTGTAATCCCAGCTACACGGAAGGCTGAGGAAGGAGGATCAATTGAACCCAGGAGGTCGAGGCTGGAGTGAGCCAGTAATTGCGCCACTGCATTCCTGCCTGGGTGACAGAGAAAGATCCTGTGTCAATCAATCAATCACTCAATCAATCAATGCATTCCTAAATCTTCAATGTCTCAACCAGGCCATCCTGGACTCTCTCCAGTGACTGCACTCAGTTATTGCAAAACTAAAGGGAACAATGCAGCAACATGCCATGTTAGAAACCTTGAGAAACAATGAGCCATTTCCACCTACACAAAGTAATAATGCAAAAATCACAGTAGCTCAATTTTTCCCAAAATATTTCCACTGCAACATTAGAAATATGGGTCCTAGATTGGGCGCGGTGGCTCATGCCTGTAATCCCAGCACTTTGGGAGGCCGAGGCAGGCGGATCACCTGAGGTCGGGAGTTCAAGACCAGCCTGACCAACATGGTGAAACCCCATCTCTACTAAAAATACAAAAATTAGCCCAGCGTGGTGGTGCGCACCTGTAATCCAGCTACTCAGGAGGCTGAGGCAGTAGAATCACTTGAACCTGGGAGGCAGAGGTTGTGGTGAGCTGAGATCATGCCACTGCACTTCAGCCTGGGCAACAAAGCAAGACTCCGTGTCAAAAAAAAAAAAGAAATATCAGTCCTATCAGATGCCAAGACCAAAAAAGTTTGTCCTCTTTGACTCCAGCTCTCAGACAGTCACAGTGCTGACAGACCCCCAACAAGGACACCCATAAGGAAACTTGTGTAACTCTGCTTAACTCTGCATTTCCCAAAAATCATTTGACCATGGAAGCTTGTTTGTATAACACATTTACATCATGTAAAACAGTGCTGTGTGGGACAACATATTAAAGGAAGCATTATGATAGGCAGTTCCCTAAACATTGTAGTGCAAATGCAAGTCAGTAAAACAAAAAATTACTGTGACCACATCAGAGATGCATTTCAGAACCCGGGGTGTGTGAAGGGGTGGCTGGAGTATGGTCACATTTATTGTCAAAATACACATATTTAATTTGATTATGTCACCTAAAAATAAAAAGAGTGTAAATTACAAGCAATTAAAACAACAAAAGATATTTGTAAATGAAGATAATCTAAAGGATTAAAACTAGGAA